CCATAACGCATGCGCACATAAATTTACTAGAGCCGTGGTGGAATGACATTGCGCATGCGCTATGGCTTATGTATTCTGCCTATGGTTTCTGCAATTTTATGTGCTTCCACCTTTAGGCTTCTCTCTGATACGGATCGCGGTACTTTATATATACATATAGTGACTTTAGCCTCAAACGAGGCTGCGAGTGACACCTGTAAGGATCTATGATCCATCCACGCGCGCTCAGTCGATAAAAACGCGAGGATCGATTCTACCGAGTGGCGCGAGCCGAAGTACGACGCCGGCGTGCGGCGCGGGTCGATTTGAAATTCGTGATTAATTGCAAAACGTACACATTTACGCAAATTGACAGAGCGCGTCGGGCTGCTAAAATCGCGACGTTTACTTTGACAAGCGACGATGCGTATGCATTATTCATATACCGCGAAGTTGCGCGCGACGCCTGAGACGCAACAACACCTTCGCCTGCGTAGTGACACTTGACGTTTAATTAATGCGCCTTGTACAATTAAAGACGGTTTAGAGCGATTCCGCGGGCGTACGTACAGAGGCGACGTACGATGTTGTATGTCGATTCTCTTTCGCCTCGTTGAAATAGCGAATGTTACAGAGGCGTCCGCGAATCTCGGTCCTCTCTCAAAAGAAAAAGACTCACGATATCGCACGTTAAAATGTAATCTGAAAAAATTGTATTAACAGGAGAAGAAATGGAAGGGAGAAAAAAAACTGGAGTGACGTAGTTAAGGCAGTTTACATTTTTCACGCTTCTAATTAATATATTGACTTAATTGATATATTTTTATATTTGTCAAACGACTGATAGCAAGCCAATCGTAAAATAAGGCTTCAATTGTAGTGTTTACTACACAATTTTTACACAATTTTTGTCGGATACACCTGAGAAAGCTGTTGTCTAAAAAAAAAGTAGGGAGACGTCGATGTCGAACATATCAGAGAAGCGGAGTCTCGCTTTGTTTGCCATTTATTTCCTGAAACAAGAGCACCGCGGTTTTCCAGAGAGATCGCGTGACGTCGTAATTAGCACGTGTGCTGCGGACGGTGTCTCGTTCTCTTTTGTTTTTTGTAGAGATTCGTGCACTCCGCCTGGTCCCGATGGTCCCGGCAGGATTCCTCACGGTCCTGATAATGAAAAAAAAAAAACAGAAAAGGACAGAGGAACTTAAGCGAGGAGCCCGATCCTTTTTGTAACCTGAAGGCCCGCCGTGAAAAATGTAGAAAAAAAGCGCGGAAACAAAGTGAGAGAAAGAGAGCATAAAAAGAAGAAAGAATTTATCGTCAAGCTATGGAGTTCCCATGATGTTACGGGTGTGCCACCCTATACAACTCTAACGAGCGTATTGCGGAAACGTTACCCCAGAGAGGCGAGGAAAGATAGTTTCCCGATCGAGCAAGACCGATTCGCGAAATGTCCCGCGAAATTGGAGCTTACGTCAACAAAAGTCCCGTGTCGCGCGATCGCGTAAATAAATAAATAAATCTAAAATCTCGTTTACCATCGCCGCCTACCACAACCGAGACTCCCCCGGCAATGAGCTTCGGAGTTCGCCGGTGGTAGTTAGACCGTGACAAGGCGATTGGGATTCGAGAGAATCGAGGGAGGAAAAAGCTCCGTTCGCGGGAAAACAAAGAAGACTCGAAAGGAGAGACCAGTCCCTTTGAGAGACCTTCCACAAAGCGGGGAGGATGTGTTAAGAGCACAGAGACAGAAAGAGATAGAGAGAGAGAGAGAGAGAGAGAAAGAGGGAGGAGGGCTGAAGTCGATGCGCGACAACAAAGGACGTTGGCGATGCGCTTTGTGCTTCCGGAGAGAGAATAGAATCTCGCGAAGGGAGTACGGATGACGCGGTGGATGACGCGTATTGTAGATATCCGAAACAAGAAAGCGGCCGGAGTACTATCTCTCTTCTTAGAGGTTCGACGAGGTCATTGAAAAACAACACAGGGGTTCGCAGTAGTGCCTGCGGCGAGAGAACTTATCAAGCGAGGCGCAATTTTACGTACCGCGTTTTTGTCGCGAGGTGATATTACAATCATGCGTTCGCGATGTATAAATTTCGACGTGAAATTTTTATTTGAAACACGATTTTCGCGAAGGATTATTCTTTATTCCCCACCCTTGCGTATCTAAAACCTACAATGTTCGATCTATTATAATAAAATTAAATATCAAGGCCGAGATCGAGGGAAACCGCTAAGGACATTAATTGTGGTGTACAGATTTGCGGCATTACTGGGCATTACTAGGCATTGCCTTGCTAGGGCATTATAAAGATAAAATAAGATAATAAGATAAAGTAATGCCCGGTGGGCAAGATTTTGGTCAGCGGTTTCCCCCTCGGTCGAGATATTAAAAAATCTCTACGTTGTTAAGCCTATCGCGAACTGTAGAGAATTAACATTATTCTCTTTGTCGTGGCGGATACATTTTGCTCCTTCAAACCAGGATCAGTCCGGAGTAAATCGTCGTGCGTCTACTCCACGCATCCGTGTGACAAACTTGTTAATTGCTTATTAAAGCCCCAGAAACTGGAGCGGCGGAAAGCACCCTGCGAGGACGAGCAACAAATTCGACGTACAACAATCGCAATAGCGTTCTAAGTGTCCTCGGTGTCGGAGAGAAGCAACGGCAGCGTGAGATGCAGCGCAAGATAGATCCGATTAGACGCCACACTAAATCACATTCAACGCCGCGCCATTGTTAAGTGTCTCGTCTACCCTGAGATTCCTCTCCGAGGGTGTTTCGCGGACTACATTGGATTATCAGGGGGATACCTCATAGCGACGCGCCCGATACGCTCCAGCGACCCGTCTACAGTTACACCACGATAAGAAATTGGTAAACAGCAGCATTACCACGGAATATTAATATTAAATGCTAGAACTAATGATATGGAACGTAAAAAGAAATTGGAGACTTCTCTTCCTTTATGTTCCAAAAAATACGGTTGCTGTCACATAGAAAAATGAAACTATTCTTCTTTTGAAAATATGTTTAGTTTCGACGCGAAAATCTTGAAATAAGATTATATGCGTTAAAGGAAGAAAAATTTACTGGTTTGAAGCAATTTTATATAATTCAATAAAAAAAATATATATAAAATTTCAAGTTTCAATCGACCTTAGCTGGCCACATTTATTAATTATGTTTTCACAACGTTTCGACCTTTGTTCTAGGTCCTTATCGAGTGAGATCTAAGAGTAAATGTTTTACATACAGATTACGTGTGAAGTATAAAAGAATTGTACTTGTTACTCTTAGATCTCACTGGATAAGGACCTAAATCAAAGGTCGAAATGTGTAAACATAATTAATAAATGTGGCCAGCTGAGGTCGATTAAAACTTGAAATCTTATTTATGTTAATACTGGCAATCTGATGAAATATACGAAAAAAATATGCTCATTATTTAAATTCAAATCGAAGGTTATAACGATTAAAACGATTGCCAAAATAATTATATGTATTCTTGAAGTAACAATTGTAGTATTTAAATAAGACTGCAATATTGGTGGAGTGTAAGATTATTGAATGCTTCTAAGAAGATTATAGATTGTTGCGTATGTACAAAACAATAAGCGCGTTAATTCGAGTATATAAGAGTGGATCTGGCACTTTTCTTCTGCGCATTTACTTTATATTCAATAAGACATTTTCCAACTTTCTTTCCTTACCGGGGCTGGAGGCTGAACAAAGTCCAACCACCCTGCGCACGAGGAAGAATCGCGATAACGATCAATTCGCCGGCACGTTCCCCGCACGTTCGGTTCCCTCGCGTATAACCCAGCGGACCGTTTATTGCGTTTAATCAAGCAATCGCGCGTCAGATACGGTGCATGCAATAAGGAATTAATTAATCTGCATCCATCTGCGAATGCATTGTACGGGGAAACTCCGCGAGAGGGCGGGAGTGTCAACAGCAGTTGCGACGGTAGCACGCGGTGCGATCAAGAATCGGTCGTCAGACCGCACGCTGTTGATCCTCTCTCTCTCTCGCTCTCTCTCTTTCGACAAATATTTTCGCAAACTGCACCGCCGTCGCATAAACGTCATTAAACATCTGCGTCCTCAATAACGGTGCGCGATACAATGTGCACGTTGCAACTATGTAACCAGACGACGATACAAGAGCCCGCAGCATGCATCGCTGCCGTGCAAATTCCCTTCCCCCCCACCCCACTCATCTTCAGCTACAGCCAGTTTTAATTACTCGCACCGCATCGATTGCTCGTAATGCAAATTATTTGTATGTTAAGTTATTGGCCACAGTTTTAATTACTCGATCGACGACGAGGTGTCGAAGGAGAACCATGACGGATTGATATAAAAGCGCGTCGGATTTTTCACCTTTCACCCAGGATTCATGGAGAAGTTAAGGAAAGCTTCTTCACATGTGGGCTCTGACGAACCGTCTGAATCTCATTCTCAAAATCAAATAAAAAGCGCTACTTTTCACGCGCACTTTTATCCGAACAGAATGCATAGGAAAAAAGAGAAACTGCGCTCCTAACTCAATATCGAGACACAGAAGAACGCGAATTTCGTGTCTCAACGTTGAAAACTTTGGTAAAAATGGACACATTTGTCGCAAAAAGGCTCAATGAAAATCGCGACGGGTGGGAGAAAATTAGGGGAGAAGCCGGGAGGGGGGGGGGGAAGGCGTATTGTAAGAGCGTGCAATTTGCATCCCACCGATTCTGCCGCCGCTGCCCGGAAAATTTCGTACAACACACGGAGTTGCCGGTGAACGGACGAACGTGGCGTCTCCACGCGGAGCCAGCACATCAACATGCAAATTGCGAAAGGATCTCACGGAGTCAGCATGCCTTTTCGAAAGTAGCGGACCAAATGTGCACGAGCGGAGTGGAGCGTATGAGAGCGGGAAGCGACAGAGAGGAAAGTCTTCGGGAAAGAGAAGCGGGCGTGTGTTAATGCAAATTGTACTTTCGCAAGCGTTTTCCAAGCTTTGAGCGCTCACCTGGTCACTATCGTGTCCCTGCCAGCTGTCATGACTCTGTAACAAAAATCAAATACGTTCAATCAGAGAGACAAACCATTAACGGTGGATTCACGAGACAGCAACGTCCACACGTACATTGTATACATTATTGTTATATATATTCCGCGATAATACTATTGTCGTTGCATGACGGTTATTTAAATGTTTTTTTCTAAGCAGGTATTATATGTTTTACACAGTTTATGTCAATAGAATGCCGCGCGTTCGCGCACGAATGCGCTCGTCGCCAGAGTGTATTTTGCTTTTTCACGAATGCACAGGAGATACAGCGGCGACTCGCTGCTACTACCTGTAACGTTACGCTGCAACTTTTGCGAATAATAGTCGCTCGTATTATCGTCATTACGAAGACGCATCGGTCTGGCGTAATACCATTTCGAAACTGTTGTGGTAGCGCGTGTTTAACGCGGCGCCATGGTACCATTGTCTTCGGGATGAATAAACAGGTCGACAACTGTGGATCGTACATGTACCTTACCTCGCGCGCGTGACACTGGAGAATAACTCGAAAGATTAAATGACATACGGATTTTGTTTGCGTGCCCGCGAAACGCTCCTCTTCTCTCGTTTATCAGACTATTTTTAAAATACCCCATTTATTCGGAATCATACGGCGCAATTTTCTTCTCTCGGGCAAGTACACTGACAGAAAAATGGTTGCAGTTACCGCAATCATGCTATAATTTATACTTATATTATATTTTACATATATAATTATATATAATTATATTTTTTTTATCAGTGTACGAATAACTTGAAAGCCTTAGAAGTCCATTTGGAAAAACTTATGTTTATCGATGCGTCATCGGCCGAAATTCACCGATCCTTCTCGAGAGATTTTCCATACGCGAAATGAACGCGGCGGAAGTCGCGCGAAAATATCCCGCGACAGGGCACAAATTCCTTGTTTATTGAATATTAAAAGCAAGAAATGTTGGCATGAACCAAACACGGTGACGTAGTCCAATTTTCCACTCCACTGGTCCACGACGAATCTCAGCAACATCGAGATTTATTTCTCGAAACTCTCGACGGTTCGCTCGCTCGCTGGCGCGATCACGCCGATGGAAAATCGAGAGGAAAAACGGCAGGCAAACGATCGCTTCTCTCGACAAGGTATACTTACGTATTTTCCGTTACATGCGCGACACGTCGGGGATGCGTCTCGCGATGTGCACGCGTTTCGTCAATTAAATATATAAGAATCTGTTTTCGCGGGAGGAGAAAACAGATGACAGACACCGCGGCGCTTTTTCGCATCGTATCCCCGATCGTGGAATACGCGGGAGGAAGGAAATTTCGTCCGGAATATTTCCCTCTTCTTGCTCCTCGCAGGCGGAACGCCGTCATTTCCGCCGCGCACCCACAATGCACGCGGGCGTTTTATTAAATCGATATGAACAATATTTCCGGCGTTTCCCGCGCGTACGAGCTCGTAAGTCGTTTTTATTGCGGCGAACATTCGATCGCGCCGTAAAAATCTCCACTGCTGACGCGGCGACGTTCTCGCGGTCGTTAAATAATAATAACGAATATGTTTATCGACCGTGCCAGTTGAAAACTCATCTATTTTGCAACACGGCCCTGATCTGGGTAGCGGTCGGCCATTAAGGGGGTGCTGGAGTGATTCTGCACTTTTGCACCTTTCTAACCTAGAAACTATCAGTTCGCCGAAACACTTGTGTAATACACAAATTAAATGACTTATGTATACAGATCGAAAGCAGCTTGCTATTCCGATTAAATGAAAGAACAATATGGCATCACTAAAACTAAGTTTGTAAGTCTAATAAAAAATAATGTTTGGAACGAAAATTCACTATAAAATATAGTGAGATTATAGGAGCCAGACGGAATACCACGTGATCGAGACCGAAAAGATCAAAGGGCCGACAGTGAGTGGGTTCTAGTTACACTATGGTAATTACCATGTGTAATTACCATTTAACGGAAAATTTTTAAGTACCCGCAGGAGCCAGACGGAAAATATAAATTCAAAAATAAATCCATCGAAAAAAAGTTCACATGTGTTTCCCTTAATGCATTTACGCGCCGGGATTTATATTTGTGGCTGGTTACAGCCGTACATTTCGCGAAATGTAATGTGCGGCGCGTATCGTATGCAGCAACGAGTATAATTCGGGTAATTTCCATTTTTCACAAATAATATATATATGTATACATGTATACATACGTATAATTGTAGAGTGCGGGAATACAAAAGATATAACGCAGCATCCCCCGTGGACGTGGGCGTGACACGGGAAGAGATGCATTTCGCAATTATTGTTTCCGCGGCGAGGGAGTTTCGCGGGAGATGAACAGCGACTTAAATCGCGACGCGCATCTACTTGCGAAGGAAACAATTACAAATCGACCTTCCGCGGTTCTTCTCGACGGGCAATTCGCGGAACGTTTCGCGACGGTGCCGCGTGACTCCGACGCGGTTCATTAAATAGGCGTAAATAATACGAGGGAGCGTATAGACGGCTATTTTATCGGACGCGGAGGTCGAGCCGGTGTCGGTCGCGGCGCGGTCGGGGGATTAATGTCGGGGGCCGCCCTGTTAGATTTATGACAGCAATATAGGCGTCACGGAGGCAACGTTGAAACGTGCCCCGTGTACTTCGGGTAACGTTTGTTACGACGCACATTCGATATACGCGCCGCTGAGAATTTATGGAAATCGGTCGTCCAATCGCGCGCCCTGTAAACAAGGGCTTTCTTTAATATCGATTTCCTCCCCGCGAAAAGCGGAAACCGATCTCGCCGTCGTCGTGGCGGGATTAATCATCTTACTCCGGAGTTTTATCTCCGCGCGATAGGCAGATACACTCGCGATGGTGACGAGACAGAAAGACAGAGAGAGAGACAGAGAGAGAGAGGGGGGGGGGGGCTGAACGAACATTCATTTAAAGTTTACATTTTTCTTACAATATGACAAGAGAAAATTGTATATCGCGATGACATAGTCAGGTCCCTTTTAAATACATCCTGTTACGCGGGCGAGTCATCTCAGTTTGTTTTTCGGCAAAAGCTTAAACCAACTCGCAGCCATTAATACAGCATTACGTTAAAAAATACACGAGATATTGAAATGGGATTAAAAGATACTTGAAGTGGGGGAGAATTTTATTCTCTATTGCACGCCGGAAGCCAAGATACTTTTATTCTAGACAGACTAAAATGCGTACCAAAATAAAATGCGCATTCCAATAACGCGGGCGGTCCTTTTTAATGTCGCGTTGCATAAAATTGCTTTCCCAATTAATATCGGAGCTCCGAGCCGAGCCTGAGCATGCAAATGCAATCAGGCTGGTTTTCTGGTCGCGCTTCGTATCGATTCTTTACAGCGGATAGATCGGCGGATAGATTCACTCGCTGAATCGCATTTAATCGCGAACTCCGGGCAAATCGGTGCATTCGTAACTTTCGACAATCGAGCGAGGTGGAACATGTAGACTAACAATGGTGAAAAAGTTTTCTCGTTTCCGATCGACTTTCAGCTCCCGCAGCCGCCGTTCTGCTTAAATGCAACGCTTATTTGCATTACGTTTTATCTTTATTTAAGGTTCCGCAGCATTCGATTTCCCGAGGTAAAATATTCGAGGCGCCCTTTTTTACCCGAAACGTGAAAGTTAAATGAAATTAAAGGCATAGTAAAATGGCTCAATTAAAATATACAATTTTTATGAACAAAATTGATGTTGATACAATGATCCTTCTTTATGATACGCGGTAGTAGTTTGGATATACAATTGCATATAAAGTTCATGCTAATTGTACCTTATTTGGCTAATCGTATGAATTAAAAATAGCGTAATTGTTGATTGAAAACAAATTATCTAAATGTACAAAATGTGCCTTCCTTGAAAAACAAATAATATAATTAATTGCCAGCTTTAAGAAGTATGATAATCTCTAGAGATATTTCATCACATTTTACCCTAGTACGTTTTAAAATTATTGCGAAAAAAGGTTCCCTTTACTTTGAGCATAACCATATGTGCATTTCATATCTCAAATAGCGACGGATTAACAATTAGTTAAATTAATAAAATATTAAATCAAATGTGATTAAAGCGTATTTTAATCGCGCAATAAATATTGAATGATTAGGGAACATTACTATTACAGAATATTAAATTAATTCATTAATATTTGTATTAAGTGGTTAATTAAACGGCGTGGGAAACATTAAGTATGCAAATGACGATAAAAATGAACACCTATTAATTAGAGACCGGCTGGAAAATGTAGGATATTAAAATTCCGAACTTATTTGGGCGCGCAACTGCTTCCTCTTTGCCCTGTTTTGTTTCGTGGCCTCCGATCTTCCGCGTTTCATCTGCCGGATTAATAAAAATTCATATCAATCTTTCTAAACCGTTTCAGAAAAAGCATCAGGATGTTAATTCCAATTTGACGAATTCCAGCTCGGGATACGCGCTAAAGAGGCGCGATAAAACTTTAACGAAGTCATGAGATTTAATCACGCAAAAAATAAGCGCGAAATTATTCATCGTTAATCGTAACGATTAACCATTCGTAGCGAACGATAATTACTGCTCGTTTAACTCACGTACCGAGCGGACGCGGCAATTATCCGGTCATTACGACGATTATTTGCGCGTAAATTTACGGAGCGACATGATTATAGTGGACGGACGGTGTACATTGAGAACCGTCCCTTCGTCTATTTGCCGTGTGACGATAATCTACGGAAAAAGAAGAAAGATTTCGCCGGAGATGATTCGTTGAACGGGGAAACGTCCCGCGAGCGGATAGCGTCGCGCGACGAGAGACGTGCTCGTAAATCCAGCTTGCGAATCGGACAGAATATGGAAGAGAGAGGATGAGAGGGAAAGAAAGAGCGAGAGACGAGGTTACGGCTGTTGGGGGGGAAAAGAGGGGCTATGCGAGTGAGGGATCCTTCAGCCGTTTAAGGGGGATAATCTTAAGTGGGGTACTACTTTTCTCGTGAAATAAATTAT